TAATCCAATCTCAAACATTTTTATTAGAATTATTAAGTTCATGTAAGAATTGACAATGCGTAATGTATTTGAAAGAAAAGAACCATTTGTTGCACTATACAATTAATTATAATCCTGTTCGTTCTCATCGTTAAAGTCATACAACGCCTCGTCTGGAGTTGGAGCCTGTTTTGGAAGAAGGAAGTATTCAAGTTTAGCATCCTTTTTGTTTTTCAAGTAATACTCTTGAAAGTCTGTGTTGTTGTGCAACAATTGTTGAACAGGGCCTTCTGGGGCGTTTTGTTGGATTGCACAAAAGTTGTCAAGAAAGAGGCGTACAAATGTGTGTAAATCGCTGTTTTTGACTTCCCTAGTTGTAAGTAACGTGCTAATACCCGAGAGAAAACAATAGAAACAAACTTCGAATCGAAAAAGAGTTTGTTGTACTTCAAAAGTTTTTCAAGAAATCCCATTTTGATGATCTCAATACAAAGAGGTTCAACCATTTGTTTGTCGTAAATGACTGATACAATTTCGAAAATGAGTTGCCTGAAAATTGTGTTGGAGTGTGTAGTGCAAAAGAAAATGTTCTATTAGTCAATTTTACAATGCTTCTTCGCGATAGACGTTTTTCAATTGACAAAACAAACCAAAAGCTCATTAACCAAGTGGAGTTCGGCCACTTTATTGACAACGCTTTGATATTGTGAATTAACAAGTGAGAGTACGACCCTTGCCAACTCGATACGAAGTGATGTTATTGGACCGTCTACGTACTGAAGAATACCAACAATATGTGTAAAAAACTTGAATATCTCGCTGAAGGTTGGTGGTAAATTCTCCACACTCTCGTTACACATTTCTTCTTTGTGAGAAGAATCCATTACAATTCGAATAATTTTGATTCCCGACTCTTTCAAATACAAGTTCCCCTTCATTTCAATTCAACCCATTGTGTGGCACAAAGAGTAAAAAAGAACAAACAGTTGAGAAAACGCCCTTATAAAAAGCGTTCAAGTCGCATGCGTTGAAGTTTTCCAAAAATGGCGTTGTGTCTGTTTCGACCATTTCGAGCTGTTCGAAGAGCTTTGTGATGTTGTCAACAACCTCTTCGTTATAAAGAACGTCTCGATGAATTTCGTCCAAAAAAGAATTAAGCATCAACCCTACAAAATTGTTTGAACACAGCCAATTCAGTCCGCTGACCTCTTCTCCACTTTGTTTAAGCAATGCCACAAAAAAAGAAAAGACGTCATAATTGTCGACGAATGTCCAGATCTGTTCGAGTCTCAAGTCACTTTTGGTGATGATATTAAAAAAAGCCGGGTTTTTAGTCATCAAAAGCATATTAAATGTCTTAATAATGCAAATGAGTGTTTCTTCCTCGTCAGGGTTGATATACAAAATCATCGTTTCTATCAATTCAGGCATTTTCGCAATCGACTCGTTGATAACTTTCATGTCGGAACAGATGATCTGTGTTGATACCATTTGGTAGTCACAGTCGTCAAAGTCATTTTCGTCGTTCCCACAAATGTGGTTGACTAAAATACCCAAATTGTCTGCCTGACAAAGCCTTAATGTTAGTCGCTGCTTTAGGGTTTCCCTTTCGGCTTCTCTTCTTATATGTAATAAATTATGTAGACAAACTCCTGCTGGAGGTCATCGTCCATCGTAAGAGCGCCAATGAAATCACTGTCGCATAGCAACTTGTCGAGAGAATTCCGCAAAAGCAATTTGCGATAGCGGTTGTGTCTTTCCTGTTTCATCATTGACAAAAAAAATGAACGACCAGTTCCTCTTTTTTTCTCTCCACTTTCTTCATTGAACGTTCATTTTACTATAAAATTACTATAAATTTACCAAGAGCTATAATGGTCATTCTTTTTTTTAGGTCTTTTTGTGGTGTTCTTGGGGTTTCTCGCTATATTGAATGACCTTTGAAGTTTTTTTGACTCAATAATCATAAATTTTATTTTAATATTGTTTAGTTAAAAAAATTATATCAGAACAACAATAATAAGTGGAATTGCCCATTATTAAGTGGGTATTCGTGCAATAAATCAGGATGAAACCAAAATAACAATTATTATTTATAATACTTTAATTATTAAAGAATTAAATCCCAAAATTTTTTTTTTATTACTTTTTTTGATAATACTTCTTAATAAAATTGTTATTATGATAGTTATTTTTGTAGTGACTTTTCTCATTTGTTTAAAATAAATCAAAAATTTGGTTGTTGCTATACCTTTATACAATAACTCAAGTATTATTTTAACAAATACTAATGTACTATTCATGTAGTAATTTTATAATTATTTGTTAATAGTTATCTTTTTGTGAAAACAAATAATAATATAAACTAACTTTTTTCCTTTCTCATTTACCCTAAATTCACCAATCAAATAGAAGTAAAAGTTAAATCATGAATCTTTAAATACATATATGTATTATATCGGATCTACAATGGATTTAAAAATTGAAAAGAGAATAAAGAAAAACCGATATATTTTTCTTAAGTCAAAAATATTGTATTAATAAAAAGCCGAAAAAGAAAGGTAAAACATTTTTAACCATCATCAAAAAGCGCTTCAAGGAAACAAAAGCGTAAGAATGAATATAAACATAGAGACAATCTCCTTTGTACATCATCAATTCTGGCTTTTGTTCCACTCCTCAAGTCTGACGAGTGGCGACGCAGAGAACGCATGAGTAAAAGACCTTTGGAAATGTGCTGCGAGTTTTTCGTCTGACTCGTTTGAGTTCTCGTAGTCCGAGAAGACGATGTTCGCAAAAGACGGGCGGATGATGGTGATAGGCTTTGAGTGTGAGAACGGTTGGGGCGGCTGTTGCACTTTGACGTGTTGAGGCTGCATTAAGGGTGTGGGCGGTTGGCTCTCAGAGCCTTCAACAATTAAAGAATCGTTTGCCAGGTAGTCTGAGTAACTGTAAAGGAGGACGTCGTCGAGTACGTCCTTGTTCGATGTGGTTATCATGGGGTGTCCCTTTCTTTTGGTTTTTTTAGGTTAAATTACCGGCCGTTCCATACTTCTCAAAATAACAGTATCAACTATCGTTCATTTACTATTCCTTTTACTATTTCAAAAAAGAAAAATGGATAGTTTTTTCTTCGTTTTGTTGGTTTTGTCAATCCCAAAAATAGAAAAGCTTCCAAGAAAAAACTGGAAATGAGAGGTTGAGAATGAGAGAGGTGGAACAAACAGACATTTAAGCAGAGAATTTGAGAAGAAAAACAAGCGATATGGAAGGAGTGGATTGTGCCCACTTGTCACACAAAGAATGCCCAGACTCTCAGCAAAAACGGTTCTCGATATCTGTATTCTGTCCCGAAGGCAAGGACGAAGAATGGAACAACATCAACACGACGGTTCAACAAAGAGTCAAAAAACTAAACAAAAAGTTCCACAAAGACATTGCTGTTGATGTCGTCAAGACAAACGTGGCCGATAAGACCGTGGATGAGAGCGCTTCTGAAGAAGTGCATATGGACGCCCAACCACAGAAAAGAAGAAAACAGACGCATCGAGAACGACGTCTCAGAAGAAGACTCTTGGAAGCAAACCAAGAGCCACACAGGGTCCACCACAGACATTATTTTAGAATCAGAAATAACGAGCAGCTTCAAGCAGCATTGCTTCTTGTTCTCTACTTTATCTTCCTGTTCTGTGTCAGTGCAATTATCACATTAGTGGTGCTTATTCTTTTAATTTAATTAACTTTCAATAAGATTTGTTTGCAGTTTATATTCAATTGACATTACAAATAAATGGGTTATATAGGTTAGTCGATTTTATCGTTTGGTTTGAGTTCTTTTTCACTTTCGTCCTCTTCTTTCAAGATTGGTTCTTCGTTTTCATTCACCTTTCTCTTGGTGAACGTTGGTAGAGGGATGATACCAGCGTATACAAAGAACCCAAAAGTCAGTACCACGAAGCCAAACACCTGGATGATTGTTGCCCATGAAATTGCCTCTCCCAGTTTGTCGCTGATAACGTAGTGTATAAACAATTGTGTCAGCCAAATCGTCACCATCCTAAGGGGATCAATCACGTTTCTTGTCAGTGCACTTGCCTGGCTTGTGATGGTCATACCAGACAAATTGAAAAACAGAACAACCAAGATGTACGCGTTTGCCAGTGCGTACAATGTTGGGTTTCTGGCGAGCATCAAAAGCGTTTCTGATGTGGTTTCTTTGAGGAACCCATCATTGGCGATCGGCATAAATTCCAAGAAGAGCATTGTACCCACACCCAAAACCACGCCAAAAGCGCCTTCCACCGAAACTATAAGACTTGGTGGAATCTCTGCGTCGTGGAGTAGCCCTTCTTCCAAGATATTGGTACACGCATTTAACAATTGCGCAAAGATGATGCACCCAATGCCTAACACCTTATGACCTGTATGCGTTTTGGCGCCTGGGTTTTTGTTCGATGGAATCAGAAACGAGCTTGACCCGACCAATGTAACTGCGATGACAACAATAACAACACCAATGGTCTGGTGTAGTTTAAGCTTTTGCTTTCTTAAGAAATATTGTAAAAGCGCTATAAATACAATGACAGATCCTCTCATCATTTGGAATATACTCCCATGGATGAACACCAATCCAACATTTTGGAGGTAAGTCGCTGAGAATGACAACAGAGCTGGAAACACAAGGGAAAGGAGATGTTTGTAAGTGTATTGATTTGGTTTTCCCATTTCAGGGTTGAACATATACTTTAACAGAAGGTATGGAAACGTACAGAGCGCCATTGCAAAAAACATTAAAAAATTAAAGAATAAAGGTTTTCGAAAGTATTTCAAATCATTGTTAATATCCTCGACTTGAATCGTGTAACTTGTTTTACTGAGTGTAATTGACAAGGTTCCACATATCAAAAATACAAGCGCGACCCCTACTAAAACACTTTTTTGTAAGTACCTCCGGTGTGGTGGATGAAATTCTTTTGGTTCTTCCATGATTTGTATTTCAGTTCCCTCTAGTTCTTCGCTATTTTTGCACTCTTCTTAACTATTTTTTATAACTCTTTTTACTTCTTTTCTTTAAAGATGAGTCTTACAAACTTTACCAAATTTATTTTCTTTGGTAAACAACAATCTTCTTCACACAAATCCCCACACTAAACATAACAAAGTTAAATTATTGACTGACCAGTCTCTGTGAAAACAGCTTGAATCCTTCTTTGTTCCATCTTCTCCTCATCCTCTTTCGTCATGAACTCGGGCACAATGTTAAAGAAGAAGCTACTTTGGGCATTCATTTCCTCTTTCGAAACTTTCTCTACATACAAGAGAAAGTGCTTCATTTCTTTCAGCGCTTCAGCTATCTTTGATTTACCTTGCGACACTTGATAGATGATTCTCATTAATCGTCTGTTAAACAAATAGCTCTCAACGTTGTAATTGTTATTTGGATTCTTCAAATCCAAATGCCTGTTGATGTCAGCGTCGAACATAACTGGCAAAAAGTGATCCAATAAGAGTTTTTGCATCTCAAAGTAGTCAGAAAGCATCACTGACTTAAAGATTGCAAATATTCTCTGCACAACAACAGTGGGCGTTTGTGTGTAGAACAATTTCTTTATATCATCAAAGACGTTCAACTCTCTGAACGCTTGAACTACATGAGCAGATTTGCAAAATGTCATTGCGAAGACAACGCCCAAAAGGGGATACAAATCTTTTGTTTTGGTTTTTAATGTTTTGGTGTAAGTTCCTCTGAACAACACAATCACATCTTCGATTAATGAAGTATTCCCAATAAAACACGTTCCAATATACATTATAAGATCGGCCAATATCTCGTTGGCAAATGAATATGGACATGTGGTGTACATCTCCTTTATATCAGTGGATTTCATGAACAATTCTATCAAGTGGCTAAAGAAATTGTTGTTTTCTTTGTTTACAATAAACTTCGCTGTTAGGTCTGAAATCATTCTCGCAATATTCTCCACTTCGTCATTTTGTCCACCCTTTGCAATGTTCTTTATCAACGCATTCACAAACGTGTCACCAAAAATGTTCATAAGATCA